GGTGCTGATACGAAAAAATTTGTGGGAGGAGTTTGTTACGATGTAAAACATGTCATTTCCTGTGGCCAGCAGGTGGCGCTATACCTGTATCTAGATATCGGCATGAAAACGTGTTCAGGTCAGGACTCTTATCAAGCGTGGGAATTTTGAGGCAGATCTGATAATGCATGCTTGAGTTATAACTACTTCCTGTTTTGTGGCGAATCGTCAAAGTTTGCGAGGCCGCCACGGACACGCCCATCGACAAAAACTCTAAAGCTTCGCAATTTAACATTGCCAAGGCCTTTAGATGACAAAACCCAATTTTGGTGTTGATCGGATAAAATCCCTAGGAGGAGTTCGTTAAAATACAACGCCTGGAAATGGCAAAACTGCCACTTTTTCGCCGCAGGAAGTTAAAAATATCCGACTTCCTGTTGGGTTTGAGATATGGCTCCAAGAGACTTTTTCGTATGTTTTGGCATGTTTGAGGTGTGTGCCAATTTTCGTGCATGTGCGTGATTCGTAGATCGGGGGCTTGTCCGTATAATTTTTCTAGGTGGCGCTGTCGAGTCATTTTGCCACGCCCACTTCCGAGACCCATAACATACGTAAATTTTCGCCACTTCTGAGGCGTGTGCAAAGTTTCGTGAGTTTTCGGGCATGGTAAGGCCCTCAAAATCGCGATTCATTCCGGAAAAGAATAATAATAATTAAAGCTGCAAGCAGCGATGAAAGGGACCTCGCACCCGGGCTCACCGCCGCCCGGTGACGTTACGATGACAGAGAACAGCGAACAATAATAATTTAAGCCAATATATAAAAAAAGATCTAAGAAAATCACAGATTTATGCCAAACTTCCTCCTGTCAGCAGGTGGCGCTATAACTGTGACTTAAGATTGGCATGTAGATGTCTTCCGGAGAAGAATGTTATCAACCATGTGAAGTTTCAGGCACATGGGACATTGTGTGGCTGAGTTATAAGCCAAACTACCTTCTGCCAGCAGGTGGCGTTATGACTGACTCAATATTGTTATGTGGATGTGTTCAGGAGCGGACTTTTATCAACCATGTGAAGTTTCAGGCAGATCAGAGATTGTGTGGAGATTGTGTTTTAAGACAAACTACATTCTGCCAGCAGGTGGCGCTATGAAAGACTCAATATTATTATGTAGATGTGTTTAGGAGAGGACTTTCATAAACCATGTGACATTTTAGGCAGATCTGACATTGTGTGGCCGAGTTACAAGCCAAACTACCTCCTGCCAGCAGATGGCGCTATGACTGACTCAATATTGTTATGTGGATGTGTTCAGGAGAGGACTTTTATCAATCATGTGAAGTTTCAGGCAGATCAGACATTGTGTGGTTGAGTTATAAGAAATTCCTGTTCCATGGCGAAGCGTTGAGGTTTGTCATGCCACCACAGACACGCCCCTCTGCAAAAACTCTAGATCTTCACAATATATCATCGCTAGAGCTTTCAGATGACACCACTCTATTTTGGTGCTGATACGGGAAAGTTTGTGGGAGGAGTTTGTTACAGTGTCAAACATGTCATTTCCTGTGGCCAGCAGGTGGCGCTATAACTGTAACTGGATATCGGCTCGTAAACCTGATCAGGTCAGGACTGTTATTAAATGTGTGAATTTTGAGGCAGATCGAATAATGCATCCCTGAGTTATAAAGACTTCCTGTTTTGTGGCGAATCATCAAAGTTTGCGAGGCCGCCACGGACACGCCCATCGATGAAAACTCTAAAGCTTCGCAATTTAACATCACCAAGGCTTTAAGATGACAAAACCCAATTTTGGTGTTTATCAGATAAAATACCTAGGAGGAGTTCGTTAAAATACAACGCCTGAAAATGGCAAAAGCGCCACTTTTTCGCCACAGGAAGTTAAAAATATCCGACTTCCTGTTGGGTTTGAGATATGGTTCCAAGAGACTTTTTCGTATGTTTTGCCATGTTTGAGGTGTGTGCCAATTTTTGTGCATGTGCGTGATTCGTAGATCGGGGGCTCGTCCGTTTAATTTTTCTAGGTGGCGCTGTCGAGTCATTTTGCCACGCCCACTTCAATATTGTTATGTGGATGTGTTCAAGAGATGACGTTTATCAACCATGTGAAGTTTCAGGCAGATCGGACATTGTGTGGTTGTGTTATAAAGCCTTCCTGTTCCATGGCGAAGCGTTGAGGTTTGTCATACCGCCACGGACACACCCCTCTGCGAAAACTCTAGATCTTCACAATATATCATCGCTAGAGCTTTCAGATAACACCACTCAATTTTGGTGTGGATACGATAAAATTTGTGGGAGGAGTTTATAACTCCGTAAATCATGTCATTTCCTGTGGCCAGCAGGTGGCGCTGTAACTGTATCTGGATATTGGCATGTAAACGTGTTCAGGTCAGGACGCTTATCAAGCGTGTGAATTTTAAGGCAGATCTGATAATGCATGCCTGAGTTATAACGACTTCCTGTTTTGTGGCGAATCGTCAAAGTTTGCGAGGCCGCCACGGACACGCCCATTGGTGAAAACTCTAAAGCTTCGCAATTTAACATCGCCACGGCCTTTAGATGACAAAACCCAATTTTGGTGTCGATCGGATAAAATCCCTAGGAGGAGTTCGTTAAAATACAACGCCTGGAAATGGCAAAAAAGGCACTTTTTCGCAGCAGGAAGTTAAAAATATCCAACTTCCTGTTGGGTTTGAGATATGGCTCCAAGAGACTTTTTCGTATGTTTTGGCATGTTTGAGGTGTGTGCCAATTTTCGTGCATGTGGGTGATTCGTGGATCGGGGGCTCGTCGGTTTAATTTTTCTAGGTGGCGCTGTCGAGTCATTTTGCCACGCCCACTTCCGAAGCCCATAATAAACGTAAATTTTCGCCACTTCTGAGGCGTGTGCAAAGTTGCGTGAGTTTTCGGGCATGTTTAGCCCCTCAAAACCGCGATTCATTCCGCAGGAGAATAATAATAATAATAATAATAATAAACGGAGCAATTCCAATAGGGCCTACGCACCGTTTCGGTGCTCGGTCCCTAATAAACGGAGCAATTTCAATAGGGCCTTGCACCGTTCGGTGCTCGGTCCCTAATAATAAACGGAGCAATTCCAATAGGGCCTTGCACCGTTCGGTGCTCGGTCCCTAATAATAATAATAAAAATAATAATAATAAACAAATATAAAACAATAATAACAATAATAAACAAATAATAATAATAGGATTGTTTCAGTTACACAGCCATAAAACAGAAACAAGACTCTTTGCTTATTAAGTATCTCCCTAACACTGCAATGTATTAAAAACACACACACTAACAGTTTATAATACAAGAGTTGGAGTTTGCAAAAGAGTCGTGGACTATATTTCTAAACCATAACCATATAACATGATATTTCCATATCAGTGCTTCTCCTTTGTTTAAATGTTGATTTTTGTCATAATCGTGCACTGGACCTGAGCTGAAATTAACACTCGAATGCGTTCAGAGCACATGAATATTTAGCTTGTGTGCGAGCCTCTGAAGAGCCTCCCGGTTGCTGTTGTCTGGTGTAGTTTTACCTGGTTTGGATAAATTCCATCATACTTAATAATTCAGGCCCGTGAACACATCTAACACCAGTGGAGATGCACCGATCCACCAGCCTGAAATTGTATCTGGGCAGTTTTTGCTCTAAATGTATGATGGTCAGCTGGGTTTATTTTACTTTAATTTAGGCTATTTCTGTCCCAGACGTGTATACAAACTGGACTAAAATAATTTTAGAAGTGTATAAATGGAGGCCATAGACGTACAGCAGCACAGACCATACATGAGAGACATGGAAAAACACAAGATTTTCTACTTTCGCTTCAACAAATTGAACTTCCTACATTTTATTTTACACTCTAAAAATAACTTTTGTTGCTTGTTTAAACTACTTATTTAAAATGAGTTGAAATGACACAATTTCTAAGTTTTTTTGGGGACAACTTAATTGTTATGTTCAATCCACTTAAATCTGTAAAAACGATTAAGCTAACTTAATTGATTTGTGTTTGGACAACATGATGAATTGTGTGGAACCCTACATTTTAAGAGTTTACCGCAACAGTAAATAATGTATCCAGTATAAAGTAATAGTTGTTTCATTATAGCTCATGTTTAGGAAATCACTGAAGTTAATGGTTTCAAAATTCAGTCATCTTCAATGAAGTTTTTAACTATTCATTACATATTTAAAAATCTGTATCTAAAGCTGAACTAAATGTCTATACATATTGTACTATGCATGAGCTTGTACTGTACATCAGATTCAAAACTCTTACTTTTGAATGCTTTCTTCTGACGGTGATAACAAAACAATATTTCTAGTTGCTCTAAGAATTTTTTGATATTTGGACAAAACAAGGTAAGAAAAGCATCTTTTGCAGTTTGATTTATAAAAATTTCCGTTCCTGAATACTGTTAGGCTCCTCATAAAACTGTCAAATAATGCAATTCAAACTATCTTGTAAAACTGTATTAATATTTCAAAATTTATAAGAGTAAAATAAAATATCATAATATCAGATTTTCCAATATCATGCAGCCCTAATGTATAGTCTCTGTGTGGGTCGTGAATACAGTGCTGTGGTTTCCTCTAATTTAAAATCAGCGCACATAATTCAGCATGTGATTAAACCAATAAACACATTATCCATGTACTCATATTGAATTTTCTTATTTCTACCTTCAAATAATTGGAAGAAAATAGAAAATCGATATCAAAATCTTCCAATTTGCTTGAAAAAAACTTCCAATCATATATTTCATAACAGCTGGCTCTGGAAGTGTAGGCTTCCGCAATAATAACTGTCGTCAAACAGCAGCAGATGCTAATGTGACGGATGTTTCTATAGATTCTGTGTGACATTATTTGCGTGGCTTAAGTGCTGCTGTCGTTTCAATGGTAAATGAATCGACTGCATGCTGAGAGCAGGTTCGGCTTGTCATGTAGTGATGTATGAAATGCAAACAGTGGGCCGTACCGCTATAGCCTGCAGTCGCTGCTGGTACTTCTCTGCTTCATGCTCCATCCTGGACCTGCAATTTAGGAGACATTGTTGAATTATTTATTCATGCTTTAGGATTCTTTTTTTTTTTTTTACCTTTATTTTAAAATAGGTTGACTTAAATGCAAAACTCAGATATGCAAAATTATTGCACGAGTAATTAAAAATAGCTGAATATGACACTTTGTTTATTATAATTCTATATTTAAAATGCATCATACACATTTATGAAATTTAACTATATTTTGATTGATTAATTCATTCATCCTTCAAGGGATTTTTACCTTTATTTTAAAATATGTTTTTTTATATTGAAAACTCTAAACTCTGCTGTACAGAATTGTTGCATGGGTAATTAAAAAACGCTAAATATGACACTTTGTTAATGATCATGGCAATTAATGGTTTTTTTTAATGAAATGCATTATTTTCCTTCATAATATTGAACTATATTTTGATTAATTATAATCAAGTCATGCTTTGAGGGATTTTTACCTTTATTTTAAAATATGATGTTTTAAATTTAATAGTCTCAGCTCTGATATACAGAATTGTTTCATGGATAATAAAAAACAAATATTACACTAATGAAATTTAATGATTGTTTTTTTATTTAAAAATGCATTATTTACCTTCATAATATTTAACTATATTTTGATTCGTTCATTAATTAATTTTAATGAATGGGATTTTTACCTTTATTTTAAAATATGATGTTTTAAATTTAAAACTCTAAACTCTTAAAATTGTTGCATGGCTAATTAAAAATAGCTAAATATCACACTTTGTTTATTATTAATGGGATTTAATTAATTCATATTTTAATTTTTTTTTCTTTAAATTTTACTTTAAAAAATTTTTAGACATTCAAACACAACAACTTACACATTTGGTCCAACAAACATTTACACATCAATTGACAATAAAAAATATGTAATAGAACAAATATACAAACAATACATACATAACTATAGTGATATAAGATGAATGCAATAAGGAAAAAATACAAAAAGGAAACAAATAATAAAATAAATACAAAAAATAATAATAACAAGAGAACTTTTCTGATTGAATCTAAATTAGTCTAATGCTCTTTAATATAACTATTTCTTGAAGAGTTTATGTTTTTAAAATAATCCATGAAAGGTTGCCAGATTTTATACATCTTATTCTCCGTGTACGAGTGGGGTCAGCCATTTGAATCTCTTTGGCTCGAGACTTCCAGTCTCATTCACTTTCATTCATTTTTAGAAGTTAAAAACGGCTTGTTTTGTTGCTTGATGTTGTAAACTGATATTTTCTTATTGTTCTGCTTTGTCCTCATGTTTGTAGAGCGAGTAGTTTGACTGTTTTCTGCCATTTATAATTCCTACTCATTCCATAGGCAACTAAATCGGAAGTTCTAAAACAATCGCAATAAATGAGCGCACCTCCACATTGAAAAAGGTCAACAGAATTTGTCTTCTTTCTTTTTTAGTGAGAATCTGATTTTCTCCAGTTCCAAATGTTTCATTACATCTCTATCTAGGAGCAGATTTCTGTTTCCAGTTTAATAATATTAACCCTAATGCTAGTAGACAGAAAAATGGAACTATATTTTGTTCATTAACTACATTATTATTAATTAATTAAATTCATGCTTCGGGGATATTTACCTTTATTTTAAAATGTATTGTTTTAAATTGACAACTCTAAACTCTGCTGTACAGAATTGTTAAAATAGCTATATATGACACTTGGTCTATGGGATTTAATTAATTCTATATTTAAAAATGCATTATACACATTTATAATATTTAACTATATTTTGATTCATTAAATTCTACAGTAGTAAACAGAACAATACAATTACAATTTTCTTTTGAAAAGCAGACATGCCCTGATGTTGCCGGGTATTTTCCACTTCAGCAGAATTTCATTGTGATTTGCTTTTAGTCTTTTGTCACTTTTTAATAGGAACTAAAAATAGCAACAAAAATATCACTTGGCACCTTTTTTCAAAGCGTTATGAGTTTGATTTCCCCTATTACAAGCTTCTTCACATAAATATTATTTTTAACCTGACAGCCAGTCTAATGCACTTACTCTGCACTGAAAAAAAAAACAGCAATTCTTTGGCAAATATAGTTGTTGGAGTCAACTGATCTTTACTGCAACATTCTGCTCAAATCAAAGTGTAATAAAGTCAGTGTGTTCTTTCACACAGCTGTCTGAGCTAGTGTTAAATCTGCCATCAGACCTCAGTGACGAACATTTTTTTAATCTAAACATGCATCTTAAAGTATTGTTTGCCATTGTTGTTGCTAAATAAATGCGACTTGCTTTCATAATGTAGATAGTGTTTTTTATAATATAGAAAACAATTTAAAAAATGATTTGTCATTGACTTAATTTGTGCTTACATCAAAGTAATTCTCAGTTCAGTAATTGTGTTTATAATTGTAACCATTATTCTGTATGACGAATATAATACATTTTCATTGACTAAACCTATAGATTAAAATGACCAGACATTTAGTCAAATCTGACTACACTAAAAAACAGGATGACAAAATCTAATTAGGACATTTAACACTAAGTAAAAGACCAAATGAATAATCAGAGTGAGAATTGTTGGCCTTCTCATTCATCTCAATGACAGTTAGGGATGGAGAACAGGCTAACTAAACCAGAACCAGATGAACCATGACATCTTGTATAAGAGAAAGACAGCGGACAAAGCACTATAAAAACATTAAATTAAAATTATTTTAATGCCCATAGCTTGTGATTCATAGTTGTTTCCATTCATTTATACAGATTCAAAGTCATGATGTCCATAGGAAAAACAGGTGATGTTCCTAATTTTGTTTTGGAGGTCTCGTACATCAAGTTTGCAGGTATATTTATTCAAGGTCACACACAATGCAGCATCAGAGTCTGAAACAGGAGTTCTGTCTGCCTTGGTGAGCATCTGCTCTGCTCTCATTGGTCAGATGGCCCAGTCTGCTGGGATTGGTTGACCTCTTACAGTACATCAAGGGTTGGAATCCAAATGACCATTACCACACAGTATCCACATTTCAGCTTGGAGCTCTGGAGAATTCTTCAGCTCCAAAAACACATGCCTGAACTGTTGACTGAAATCTGAGGCATGGGAAGTAGATGATTGGAAATGTGCTTCTGTACAGTATATGAAGAAATCAATAGACTACATTTTTAATTAGTAACCCATCAGTTTGGGCTGCGGCATATTGGGAAAAATCTGACATTGCGATATTTTGTTTTACTGCGATATTTATTGCGATACAAAAACAATTTCACCAGATGACTTGCATAGCTCTAATCATGAAAAAACCATTCATTTAGATTGGTTGGGTTGGTTTTTGTAAGCGTGTGAATCATGTATGAAAATAAAATTGCAAGAATAATTACAAAAGAGCAAAGAAAAAAGTAAATAAACAGTTCTTGATGGTTTTCTGAAAAGTTACACAAATACAGAAATTTAGCAATGTAAAATAGCACTGTATAGTCTTCATTGTTGAATAAATCAGTAAAATTTTCTTCATTAAAGTTACAAATGTTTTATGTTATTGTGTCAATTCTTTACTCTCTCTTAAAATGCCTTTAAAACACATGAAAATGATAAAGTTTCACTCTGTTATGGTTATATGTTGCAATGACTCCACAAATCTCATGTATAATCAATTGTTGATCGACTATAATCCCAATTTAACATTGTGACAAGCCATGTGACTTGCAGACACACACATTGCGATATCAATGCAAACGATATATTTTGCGCAGCCCTACTATTATTAATAACTGTAACTATTGTTTAACCTGCTTGATGTTTATGTATGATTTTTCAAACTGAGCATACGATGTATAAGCACTCGCCTTGAATCATTTTAACACTGCTTAGTTTATCAATAGGATGTCATCGCTAAACTGGACTGTTATTTGTTTCACAACAACAACACAGCAATAACAACAGATTTAGTTGACAAGGGTGTGTATGAAGGAAATAATGGACACTGGCTACTGTACTTTCAACAAGTACGAAGACATTTTTATTTCTGACTACTGTTACTAATACTGTAACTGTTATTTGTTGTTAAAATTGACATTGGATATATACCCAATTAAATATAAACTGTAAAAAAAAAATCTGTTATTTAAAAAAACTTCAGCTGCTGGGGTGCTGGAAAAAAGGTAATTATGGCTGTTAAATTATAAAAATTTACAGGAAATTAAAATGTAAGAAACTTTCTGTAATTTAGCATGTTATTTTACAGTAAATTTCTGTAAACTAGCGTGATATTTTACAGTAAATTTCTATAAATTAGCGACTGTTATTTTATTGTAAATTTCTGTAAATTAGCGCTGTTATTTTACAATAAATTTCTGTGATTTAGTACATAATTTGACAGTAAATTTCTTTAATTTAGTGTGTAATTTTACAGTAAATTTCTGTAAATTAGAGCTGTTATTTTACAATAAATTTCTGTAATTTTAAAGTAAATTTCTGTAAATTATTGTCTGTTATTTTGCGGAAATTTTCTGCAAATTAGCAATGTTATTTTTATGATGAATTTCTGTAAATCAGTGGCTGTTGCACCTCATTCACACGAGGCGTCAGCGTCAACGTTTCCCATTCACTTTGAATAGGGGATGTCAGGCGTTGCCGAACTGCATTGTGGATCCTTCAGCGCCGAATCAGTGGCGTTGCTCACTGCAGAAGTTGGGACTTTCTCAACTTTTAAAGCATCAACGGAAGCGTCAGCCAATCAGATAGCTGTATGCAAATACACCAGATCAGACAATAGCCGATATCTGACTAATTTCATTGACTAACGCTGCTATCAGCATCAGCCCCAACTTCAGACACGTCTTCAGTTAAGCGATGACGCTGAAGCCCTGTGTGAATCGGGCATTATTATACAATCAATTTTATTTAACAGTAAATTTCTGTTATTACATGGTAAATTTCTGTAAATTAGCGTCTGTTATTATATAATAAATTTCTGTAACTTGGCGTCTGTTATTTTA